TGTTTAATCAAATTACATTGTAGGCAATGTGGTATGTATATTAATTTTAATTTAATGAATACATCAAAGTGATGATTTGATAATATCATTTCATTTAAAATCCTTATGTTTCCACTTTCGTTTCTGAAATTAAATAACTTTTTTTAAACAAACATATTTTCAAATAAAAAATAAGAGAAAATTATAAAGAGTTATATATAAAATTAAATCAATTCGAATATCAAAGAAAGAATTATTAAATAAATATAAATATTTTGAATAATATTTAACATTTTTATTTTATATTTGCAAATTAAAAGCAATTAAACGCATAACAGTTAATGACCTTGTCGCACCTTTCGATATCCCTATTGCACATTATTCAAATGAGAATAGGTTGAATATTGGACAAGAAGGTGAAATTATGGTTTCTGTACCTAAAGAAATAGTTGAGATTATGCAAACAGACGAAGTACCTATCAATATTTTTGTTGTTAACGTCTATTTATATTTTGTTGGAACTTACATGATTAAATGTGATATTACCGATTGCTTTATTTTATTATAGCAAGGGTTAATAAAACCATTTAAAGTTCGTGTGGAATACAAGTTAAAGCAACCTCAATCTGGTATACATTTTGTATATCCTGATCCTAATCGCGAAATAAATAAATCTATAGTAAGGTTAATTTTCATTTTCATAATAGTTGGCATGTAATTAAACTTTTGTCTAATTTATCATCAATTACGTATAGCTGGACCCTTATGTCTTTACCATTAACCATCCAGTAGGTGGTGTAACTAGGTACTGGCTTCCATGCCTTAATCGATTCAATGACAAATGCACATGGGATTTGATATTTACTGTTAAGGATGTTGAAGGATATGATGAACTGAATGTAGTTGCGAGTGGAAATTTGGTTAAAGTGGTAAAGATTTAATAGTTTAAATCTAATTTGATTTTTTTCTTTTGCTGAATAACAAAATATTTTGATCATTATTTGCATTAGGACCATTCTCTTGACAATCCGTATCAGAGAACATATTATTATGAACAAGATGTTGCTGTTCCGGCGCAATTTATTGGATTTGCTTGTGGTCCTTTTACTAAAATTAGAAATTTACTGTATCAAGACGATGTTGCTTTACCCCAAGATAGACCAGAGATTAAGGCTTTTATTACTGATCGGCTATCAGAATATCTTGAGCCAACAATGTTGCCAAGTGAAAGTCCTAATATCAGTAAATACTGGGTATCTGATGTAAGCTAAAATTTACACATACCTGTAATATCATTGATGTTATATTAATTGAACTTTAATTTCCAGATTATTAATTGGTTTATAGAAAAATTTCCTTCATCTGTACCTAATGATGACACGTATCATTCAAGTTCTTTTTATCCATCTATAAAAGATCTTAGATTTCCCTTTAAATCGTTAAACATAGTTTTTGTTGAAGGCGCATATCATGGTATTTCGATTACTGCCGGTCTTATTATTTGCAAGTGTGTAGTCATTTTTAATTCATATTTTATCCTTTCTCATTTTATAATTATTAAATATGCTTACAATTTAAAATGAATAAATAGTTCGCAATTACTACATAACTATCGTATTATCGAGCAAAGATTTGAAACGATGCAATTTATAGCGCATGGAATAGCCCAACAGTGGTTTGGCATTTTTCTTTCGCCTTATAAATGGTATGTTACGAATTCTTATAGTTTATTTTTTCAAAAGATCATAACCTCATATTGATGGTTTATTTCATAGGAGAGATTTGTGGTTGGGTCTTGGTCTGTCGTATTATTGGGTTGAAATGTATTACGAGACGGTCTTTTCAGAGGATAAAATCAGGTTGGATCGTAAAAAGGTACGTTAATATATTGCATAGATTCCTTTACAATACCTATTTATTAACATCTTTGTTCTATGTATATATAAATGCTATAGAGAATCGAATCAGTTACTCAAAAGGACGTCAATCAATATGCAATATGTTCAGATAAATGGAATTTTCCGTTATCAGTAGGAAGCTTTGATTTTATACAAACCAAAGCATCTCTTGTCATCTGGATGTTAGACAAACGTTTATCATTACTTGGATATTCTCGTAGAATGCCGGGTTTGATTTACCTAATTTTGGGTGATGCAAAGTCTTCGTTGGAGATGAATAAACTCCAAGGTTTCCTCAATACACGAGACTTTTTGCTTTTATGTAAATTTGTCATACGTCGGGAGCTTCATGATGAGATCAATGCCTTTTCACGTCAATGGATCTATGGTTCTGGATGTCCGATATTTAAAGTTGCTTGTAAATTTTCTCGGAAAAATTTGATTGTTGAGTTTGATATAGAGCAAAAAAACACAAATTCAATTGCGTTAAACAGCTCAAACACTTTGAATTCAGCTTATTTTACGGTATGAATTAATTGAAATTTGATTGTTTATAAAAGAATCCAATTCTTACCTATTCTTAATGTTTTTCATTATAGGGCAAATTAGAAGTGTCAGTTAAGGAACCTGACGGCTATGAATATATCAACACGTTGGACATCCATAAACCGCATCAAATTGAGACAATCCATTATCACACTAAGTATAAGCGTTCTAAAGTTATGATTAAACCACGTATGGTTAGGAAGGAAGTTACCAATGATGAGGAAGTAGCGTATATGCGAGACATGATGGTTGAATATAATATGGAAGAGGAACTTCCCGAGTTTTTTGGTCTGGATCCTGAAAACAATGTTGATAACGAATGGATGATTCACGAATGGGCTGATGATCCAGCAGCTCGTAATGCCAGGTAATTATCACTTTAAAAGACAAATTAATTACAATTATTTATTATTATTTATATATAATATTTATGTAAATAATATACATAGCGAACAATGGGAATATATCCGAGTTGATCCGGAATTTAGTTGGCTTGCAAAATTTGAATTTTCACTTCCTCCATACATGTGGTCAAATTTATTGGAAGAGTCGATTGACGTAATTGACCAATATAAGGTTAGTTCATAAAAGTTTAATTTTATTGTTAACTTACTATGTTTTTTTTTTACAACTTACCATTCAATTTCTATTATTACAAGGCTGTTCAAGCTTTATCAAAGCATAACAGCAAAGCTGCAGCGACGACTCTAATGCGAACTGTCAATGATTTTAGGTATTTTTATGATATACGCATTGAGGCAGTAAAATCCTTGTCAAACGTAAGTCGGGTTTATAATGAATAGAATAATCCAAAGAAGCTTATTTATTATAAGTTTTCTTTTCGAAATAGTTTGGATCGGATGATCTGGATGGAATTGGCACTCGACATTTGCTGAAACTCTATGAAAGCATTTATTGTGAAAAAAATGAGGAAGATAAGTACATTCCATTGCCGAACTCATTTGACAGCTGGGAAAAATATTTTTTACAAAAAGTAAGGATTAATATATTTTTTCTTTGTAAAATAAATTTTGGATGATAATTTTTATATAACGATTATATATTTAAATGCTTTTTAGGCGATGATAGCTTCTATATCACGTTTACGAGATTCGAATAACTTAGCTCCACTTGAAATCAAGAAATTCTTATATCAACGATTGAAATGGAATGATAATTCAAAGAATTATGTATGTAATTAGACCTAATTATAACTTACATCATCAAATTCTTTTTCCTTACGTACTTTATTTGTATTTTAGTATTCCGACGATTACTTAATTAATATACTAGTTCGAAGTTTAGCAAATTCTTTTGCGAAAATCAATAATATCGAAAAAAATAGTAAAAGCAACAAAGATACATCCACATCCGGAGAAGTCTTTTATCTTTCGCTTGAAGATCAAGAATATAAAAGTGAAATTATAAATATAATCGAGGAAATTATGCGCAGAGATAGGTCTCTAGGATCCTATAAAGATGTGGTACTTGAGAGCATTTTATGGGTATTTATGCAGTCTAATTATCAATTTGTATAAATTATATAATATATATGAACATAATTGAATCGAATACAATTTCACTTTTTTAATTATAGGCCAAATCATCATTAATGATGAACCAAGTAATCGATAAAAATAAACATGAATTCATTTACTATGCCAAGTAAGTAAGATATCTTAAAGATCGTTTCATAAATGATTAATTACTGCTTTATATTATAAGTATAACAAAAAATAAATATTAGGGTAGGAAATCATTATAGTGTCAGGAAAATGTCTCTAAGAGCCTTGTGGATCCTTGGTTATAACAGAGACGACTTTGAGGTTAAAAATTTATTAAAAAGTCTCAGCACATCAGACCCTGACCTTGGCATTAGGAATTATGTAAACACTTTATATGGTGTGGATCAAGGTCTGATCAGACTTGAATATCCAAAGAAGGATATGACTGGTTCTACAAGATTAAAGCTTAAATTTTCAAAGTCGTCCAAACCTGCCAAAACTTTAACTACACCTATGGAATGTGAGGAGGATATCAGGGTGGAAGATTCGGAAGATTCTTTATCTAATAGTAATGCGACTGAGGAAAGCCATCGTCATTTAAGGACTAAACCTCATAAACATAAAAAGTCACGTTCTTCGAAGACCAAAAAAGAAGGTAAGCAACCTAGCATTGAACCTGAAGCTATTAAGCAATTAATCGCAACGATCGAGGAAAGTTTAATAGAAACAGAAGTGGCAGAGTCTTCAAAGAAACGGAAAAAGAAAAACGAAAAGGTAATTGATAATCCAATACACATTTCTTCTTCAAGAAAACGAAAATCAGTTCCGGCCGTTGAAGAAATTTCCGAGATCGAAAAAAGGTCAAAGAAATCAAAGAGACCAAAAAAATAAAGGCATAAAGAAATGATATTCACCCCAGAAAAATTGATAAGGACTTTTGTGTATTTATTATGATCTAGTGAATCATTCCGCTGAAATTTAGCATTATTCCTTCGTTTGTAAATAAATAAATATATATTGTTTAAATACAGTTTTGCAAAAAAAAAAAATTGAGTCATTTTACGATTTCAGATTAAGAATTCGTATGTCGTTTTATATAAGGTTTGGCGGGATCCTCAGCCAAAACTTTTGGTGGTTTAAATTCATTTCCCAACTTTTTCTTCTTTTTAGCAGAACTACCAGAACTATTTGACTTTTTAGTTTGAAAATCTCTCCAATTATTGACCCTTTGTTCTCTAGTTTCTTCCCATAATTTATCCTCTTCGGCTTTTCTTTTCCTTTCTTTTTCAACCTGTTCAGCTTTTTGAGCGGCTAAACCTTGAGCTTCTAAATCACGTTTTAGTAATTTACGTCTACGTAGTTCCTGTTCTATTAAAATTTCTTTGATTTTTTGTTTAATTTGTAAATTAAATCCAGGAGTATTAATAATTGAATCATTAGGTTTTAATTTTTGTTCATTAATTAAGGTTATTTTTGCTTCATCAACAATTGTTAATAAGAATTGACGTGATTTTTCATTTGATAAGTCTGTTTCTGCCTAAAAATCGATATAAATATAAAAGATTAAATGATAAATGACACGTTAGATTAATAAATGAAAAAAAAAGTCTATACCTTTTTCAATAAAGAAAAAGCTTCTTGTGCCTTAGGATGGCTTGTTTTATCAGGGTGAATAAGTAAAGATTTCCTTCTATAAGCATTTTTAATATCTTTTTCTGTACAATAAGGAGAAAGATCTAAAAGGTCGAAAGGATTTAACTTGAACGCAGATAGAATACGTTCGACTTCTTGATCTTTCTGTAATTGTGTTGCTTCAGTTGAAAGGTATTTATCGATATCAAGATCATCAGACATGTTTTACAATTCTAAAAGAAAGAAAAAGTAATATGGAGAATATAATAATGATCAGTAAGATATCTTTCTTTAATAAAAAAAAATTTTAGAAAAAATGATTTTTAAAGAACTATAGTAAGTTCTGTTTGAAACACGATGACAAAGTTACCCAAACTTAATATAGTTAAATTTGAGATAAAATTAAAAAAAATATATCTTTACGTTAAAATTGTTGCCACGTTTTCATATATAGTTAAAAATGGATAGATTTTTGCCACGTTTTCAATATCGAAATTTTTTTTCAAATATAAAATCGTTCGAGATTTGAGGTATTCGTTATGGTATTAAGTTTTCGGTAAAAAAAAAATTGAAAAAAAAAAATGAAACGATACTCTGTTTTTCTTGCAGCAAGTATTTTATCCTTATCTACCATTACTTTAGCTGAAGTATATTTAAAAGAAACGTTTACTGATGCAGAATGGGAAAAGGTATGTTATATGCATATTTTTTTTTAACGCGGACTTTTTTTTCCTGGTTTTTAAAATTCTAATGAAAGTTTTTTGCCTCTTTAATTAATAGCGTTGGATACAATCTAAACATCAAGATGGGCTTGGAAATTTCATAGTATCTTCAGGGAAATTTTATGCCGATGAAACAGAATCTCGTGGATTAAAAACTACACAAGATTCAAAATTTTATGCAATTTCGAGTAAATTAGACAAAACAATTGATAATACTGATAAAACTCTTGGTACTTTATTTACTTCCGGTTTGATTCTGTCGTATTATCATAAATCGAAACATTAATAATTGGTAAATTTTTTTTTTTCTTTTTGAAGTTGTTCAATTTTCGGTTAAACATGAACAGGGCATCGATTGTGGTGGAGGTTATGTCAAGGTATATTTTCAATTCAATATTTTTTTTTATTTTATTTTTTATCAAGGTGTACAAGGTATAATGAATCCAACCTTTTTTTTTTTTGTAATCAGCTTTTGCCACCCAACTTTGATTCCCTTAATTTCAAAGGAGAATCTCAGTATAATATCATGTTTGGAGTAAGTATGATCAAATAAAAACCCTAGAAAGACGTTGATTGGACAGCTATTATTATTCATTTACTCACATGATTTGTCATATGATTACTTTTTTTTTTTTATAGCCCGATATTTGTGGACCAACTAGAAAAGTTCACGTAATTTTAAATTATGATAATGAAAATAAACAAATTAAGAAACAAATTAAAGCACCATCAGATCAATTAACGCATTTATATACTTTAGTATTAAATCCTGATAAAGTAAGTATTCAAACATATTTTTTATATAAGCTTATTTCATGAACCTAATCATATTTTTATTTTAGACTTATGAGGTATTAATTGACGATAAAGAAGAAGCATCTGGAAAATTAGAGGAAGATTTTGATTTACTTCCTCCAAAGGAAATTACCGGTTAGTTTCTATTCACAATGAAATATTTATGTATAGATATACTTTTTTATTTATTTAAAAAAAAATTTTTTTTTTTAATTCTAATAGATCCGGATGCAAAGAAACCCGAGGATTGGGTTGATGAGGCAAAAATTCCAGACCCTGAGGATAAAAAACCAGATGATTGGAAAGATGTTCCACCAACTATTCCTGATCCTGATGCAGAAAAACCAAACGACTGGGATGGTAATATAAAAAAATTTTTTTTTTTCCAGATAAATTTTTCATTTTTTCTTATACTAAATATTGAATTTTTGTGAATTATATATATAGATGATATGGACGGAGAATGGGAACCACCACACATACCAAATCCAGAATATCAAGGAGAGTGGAAACCAAAAATAATTGATAATCCAAATTATAAAGGTCCATGGAATGCACCATTAATACCCAATCCTGCATATAAAGAAGATAAATTACTTCACGCATATAATACTTCTTTTATCGGTTTTGACTTATGGCAAGTTAAAAGTGGTACAATATTTGATAACATTTTAATTACTGATGATATTGAAGAAGCCAAAAAATTTTCAAATGAAACTTTTATAAAGTATCGTGATGCAGAATTAGAAGCTAAAAGAAAATTAGATGAATTAGAAACCAAGAAGACAACTTCAAAAGAGGAGGAAAAGGAAAAGATTAGTGAAGTAGTTGAAGATAATGATGATGATATCATTGACCTTGATGTTAAGATTCAACCAGATGGTCAAGTTCAAGTAACACCACCTGATCCCGAATATGATGAACCAAAAGTTGTTAAAGATACACAAAAACAAATACCAATTCAAGAAGAAGGAAAACCTTCCTCATCTAGTTCAGCTACAACATCTACTCCTACCTCAGAGCCTTCAACAAAAGACGAAAAGGATAAACTTTCTGATGATAAAAAACAAAATGAAGAACTTGATAAATTCTTTGATGAATTTGAGGCAGAAATAGGAAGTGATGATAAAAAACCAACCAGAGATGAATTATAAATTATTTTTAGAATATTAGAATGTTTATCTTGAATTATTTAACCGTATAAAAATTAATTTTATTATAATTTTATGATTGTTATGTAACATTTAAATTGAATTGTTGTCTACATTTTACAATTTACAATTATGTTAACAATTAAATTACATGGTTTTGACTGTTCTTTTTTATTATTATTATTGAAACGCGACATCAAATCTCTCTGCTACTACTTTGCCACCTCCGCTTGCAAATCCAGTACCTAAGAAATATATATATATATAGTTAATTAAAATATTTGAACGATTAAGTTATATATACAAAATATGTGTTACCTTCTCCTGACATATCAGCAATATCCTTGTCCCTACATTTAGCATCACATACGAAACATTGTTTAGTTTTTCGAACAAGCCTATCAACACATATTTTACAAATAACATGCCCACATGGTTTCATTACTAATAAATTTGACAATACATTAATTGATTATTGAGAAATTTTTTTTCTTTGAAAGTCGAAACGTATATAAAACAAAAAAAATACTTACAACATATTTTTAAAGAATTTGTTAAAGTTTTACGACATGAAGGACAAATTAAATTGATTTTTTTAGAAGTAGGATCTTTATCCTCTGTAAATTTTGTAGGAATCAAACTTTTCATGCTAGATATCATATTAAAACAAGTTTTAGCAAATCGTTTACAAACGAAAAATTATTTTTATAAATTTCAGTATACCTAATTGAATGTTCTGGATCTGCAGCAGTACACATCGTTTGCTGCTTTACCTGTTTTGCCTTATCTGGATCTGCAGATGGTGTAAGCGAAGGCTATAATAAATTCAATTCACATTAAATTCGAGTTTATATTTAATTATTTATCTAAAAAAAAAAAAAAAAGTATATAGCATACCAGCCAAAAATTAGGTAATTTAGGCTTTGACGCGAGAATCTAAAAATAATAATAATGATGATGATAAAATTATAAATAAAATCAATCAATCCTTATCTAAAAATTAAAAAATTTACTCTTTCTTCTTCCAACTTTTTTAATGCGTCATCTTGTTCCCGTTTTGCTATAGCTGCAAGTTGTTCTTCATCGATTTGAAACTTTCTCTTTTTATCTATAAAACATTATAAAAACGATTAATCATCTACCCTTAAGAATCAATTAACAATTACCACTTTTCGCATACCTTTATGAAATGATTCGGTCCATTCAATAGCTTTAACAGAACTATCTTCAATTCTAGCACTTACATGATATTTTTCAACATCACCTTTCTTTCCTAGTGCATTACTTTCATTTAAGAATGATCCATTAACTTTTGATTTAACCTCTCCATTCCCATTATTATTCGTTTTAATAGGAGTGATTCTAACTTGTTGTCTCTCGAATTCTTGAATTACAGCTTCTTTAGCTAATTCGGCTTTCCTTTTGTCGTCTTCTTCTTCATCTTTTGCTTTAGCTTCTAATAATTTTTGTTGACGTAGGATTTCTTTTTTTTGTGCCAAAATATTTTCCAAAATACATTCTCTACAATATAAATGACCTTGTGTACAACAAACTGGATCCCTAGCTCTTTGAAGACATAAGTAACAGGAATCATATTCTCTCATAGAATCTCGTCCTAGTCGTTGCTATAAAGTTATAAAAAGCTCAGAAAGTTTAGTATAATAGTTCAGATTTAATAAGATTTTATGTTTATTTTTTTAATCAATTACCTTTTTTGTTCCATATTCTAATGCTTTACTCTCTGCGTAGGTAAAGAAAGAAAGTGCGGTATTATTTTTGCTATGTCGAGGCATTATATTAAAAGTTGTTTAGGTGTGTTTAGTGTATCGTAGTAAAATCCAACCATCTACACTAAGTTACGGTAATATCATTAACTGACCCGATGACATCATGAGTAGCTAAGCCCTGGGTTTTGTTCATCGTTATTTTCTGGCTAAAGCCAGTGTTCGATCCCGATTTTTTGGCCAGAATTACGGCATTAAGTGATAGTCCCAGTGACAAATAATGTGACAAATAAGGAATCACATACCGAAAAAATTCCAAGTTTCCAGAATACTTAAAAAAAATGAAAAAAAAACAGAGGTGTATTTTTTGCGAGACACGTGATTTATTCAATAATTAGCAATTCTACCCAGGCGATACTCCGGGTCACTTCGCGACGAAAAAAAGGTCAAACTTAAGATATAGTAGATTTGGTTTAATCGAATTAGAGCTGAAATTGGAGTTGATTTAGATTAAAACAAATTAGAAAAAAATGTAAATTTAAAACTGTGAAAAAATCCTATCTCTTATTACATTATTTACTGCAAACTATAAAATAATTTATAAAATAATTTAAATTTTAATAATTATATGCAATTATATACTTTTATAATAATATATACAATTAAAATAAATAATTAATTTAAATTAAAGAGTATAGATACTTTTAATTATATATAAATCACAAATAAATTAAAAAAGTTGAAGTTATCCTAACCTTAATGTTACACAAATGCAAACCCGAACCCTAACCTTTAATGTTACACAAACGCAAGCATGAACCCTAACCCTTAATGTTACACAAACGCAAGCATGAACCCTAACCCTTAATGTTACACAAATGCAAGCATGAACCCTAACCCTTAATGTTACACAAATGCAAGCATGAACCCTAACCCTTAATATTACACAAACGCAAACATGAACCCTAACCCTTAATGTTACACAAATGCAATCACAACCCTAACCCTTAATGTTACACAAATGCAATCACAACCCTAACCCTTAACTAACCCTTAATGTTACACAAATGCAATCATAAACCCTAATCCTTAGTATTATACAAATGCAATCATAAATCCTAACTTCTAATATTACACAAATACAATCATAAGCCTAACCTTTAATGTTATACACATGCAATTATAAACTCTAATCCCTAAATAGGATCCAGAAACTTCTAAAGTAGAAATTTTTTGCATCATTAATTTTATAAGGATCATAATTTAAGAATGTATTAAAATATTAACTTTTTAGTCAAATATTAAAGTTAAAATTGTATAATTTAGGTTATATTTAGTTAGGTTAATATTTTAATTTGCATTATTTATTTTAATTTTAAGTTTTAATTTTATATATTACATGATCAAATAATGCATTACAATGCGTTATATAAAAACTTTAAAAATAAAGTTAAAAACTTGTTCTTTTTACTAACTAAATTAACTAGAAATAGATTGAAAATATATGCTAAAATATTTAAAAATAATCTTAACATTACATATATTTACAATAGTATCATGGTTAAATGTATTTATGAAAAATGAATAGCTTTATACAGAAAATATAAAAAAACAAACTTGACAAGACATGTGAAAAATGGTTGCAATTTGAGAAATAAGCAACTTAAAATTACTAATTTTTTAAATATATTAGCAACTTAAATAATTTCTATAGGCCTGATGAATTTGATAAACCTATTGAGATACTTATAAAAAGAAAATCTTATTAAAGTTTATCAGATAGAAAGTAAAGTATTAATAATATATTGAAAAAATTCTAGTAAAAATTGGAGGGATGTAATGATGCGAAATTATTGCTAAAGACTTATTTTTAAAATTATCTGAATTTCATTTTAACAATTTGTCTAAAAATCAAAAATTAGAATTCAACCAACAGTTTTATGTAAAAACAAAATAAATAATCAATCAGATTAATAAATATTTTTATAAAATATTTATTAATAAAATATTTAAATTCTTATTATAATAAAATTTTTTTAATAACAATGTATATTCAATCTATAAAATGTAAGCGTTTGCTAAACAAGATATTTGTAATACATGTTTAGTATTGAATAATGATAAAGTATTTTAAAATAATATTGCATATTTAACACTTACATCTAAAAACTAAAAATTTGTTCTGAAGTACTATTTAAAAAAAAATGTACTTGTAAATCATCTTCAGTATACTGATGTATAAGAATTACAGTATACCAATTATTAACTGACAAATCAAAAGGTTTAGATTCTAATATTGATTTTTCATTCTGATAAATATTTATAAATAAGGCAAGCCAAGATGTATTTAATAAAAATCTATTTTTAAGGGTCTTTATTAAATAATGCTTTAAATTTCTGAAATGTCAAAGGCAAATAAAACATTTGCTATTTTACTGAATTTACAAATTTCTTGTTATTCTCAAAAGTATATCTCTAAAATCACTAAAATTTTTTGACAAATCTTAAAAAACGGTCTTTATGAAATATTAAGTATAAATTTTTTATTAGCTATTTTATATATTAAAACTGTTTATTAATTTTAACATATACTTTATTTAAATATTTTCAAAATAATTCTAAAGAAAAATTAGTAAATCTAAATATATGTTATAAACATATTGCGTATTTCAAACAATTATTAGATACACACAAATATAATAATCTGATAGTTATAATATTAAACTAAAACTTGAATTACAATATTTTGCATAATTTAGTTGTATTATAAGTTTCTTATTACAACTGAAAGAAATTTAAGTAAATAATTATAATGATATTTCAATCATTATTAACAATATAAAAGAAAAGAAAGCTATTGCAAAAGATGTTAAAACTTATTTACTATAGGTAAAATATTTGTTATATATTACATTATAAATATTAGATTAAAAATTGTTATTTTAGATTTTACTTTCAAAGATTCTTCTGATAATAATTACTTTAATTTCACATACCGGTTCTAAAATAGCAAATGCTATTTCTACACTTCAGCTTAAACTTCTAATTGATATTACATCACAATTAAACTTTCACATAATATCTATTGATTCTGATAGGGTATAAGTTGATTGTCAAACTTAAACAGCAGTTCAAAAGTTTAATACATTAGATAAATTTTCAGTTTACTATAAAGAATATAAAATCAATTTTAACTGTCTTATTTTTCTAAATATTAGACCAGTTGTTTATATACAAGATTCAAATTATAGAAAAAAATAGTACAAAATATTTGTATGTCTGATGTAAGTTTATTAAGCTTCAGAAATTCAATAGCATATTATGGATAATCATTTACTTTATATTAGTAACCAGCAAGTATCTTATATAGAAGAAATGAATTAAACTTAATCAGTAAAATAATAAATAATGCAACTTATCATATATTTAATGCTTAGAACTTAGAACAATTTTTGGATAATGAAAAATTATCTAATGATAATAAGGGATTATTTGTATACTTATTTATTATGTGTAAGTTATTTTATTTTTTATTTTATTTTATTTTCTTAAAAATTTTATTACAAACAATAAGTAAATTATTAGATAACTATTTTAATCATAAAATTTCTTATTTTGAGAGAATCAAAATGGCTATGAAAACTTATTTTTTATTTATATATAGCATTTTTATATAAAACCATTTCTTAACATATCCTAATTATATATCTTTAATATATCAATTTTTTAGCTTCACAAAATTTTGATATTTTTACAAGTTTAGCAAAATCTTTTTTACTTTTAATTAAAATTCATCATGAATTTTATCTAACTTATCTTTTTCTATCTTGAAAATATAATACAGAAGTATATGAATATTTTTTTAAAGTTGCAAGGCAATTACATAATGATTTTAAATATGTTGATATTTTAAATCTTAATTAAAGCTAAAGGTATTACTTTAAATAAAGAAAATCTTTACATAAAGATATATATATTTATTTATATTATTATATATTTTTAATATTTATTTTAAATAAAGATAATCACTGCAATTAAAAAAAATGGCGTAATTGAATTGCAACTTGTGGCGCAATTAAATTTCCTTATGACGCAATTAAGTTGCAACTCAATTAAAATTTGAAAATAATTATGGGAACCATCTTTAATTTTAAATTTTAGATTATTAATTTGATACTGATAAAAATTTTAATCAAAAAACTTTTGAAACACTTTATTCTTAATTAATAAATTCTGATAAAAAAATACAATTAAATGTGATTTTCTTTAAGTATTTGAGCTTATTAATTATTGACTATGAAAAAAAATCTAAATCTTTAATGTTATTAACAGAAGAAATTACAGCTTCAAAGATCACGTGAGATTTGCCAATCAATAATGATCTTGCATTAGATAATGTTATTGCTATACCAAACAGTAATTAACAATATTTTATATTTCATCTATTTCTTTTGTTTCTTCTGTATTTTTTGTACAGCCTGTTTATTCTATTTATTCCATTTCGCCTGTAATTTTCCTAATATCTGTAATTTATTTTATTTATTTTTATTATTTTTATAGTTTATATTATTTTTATTATTTTATCACATTTAAGTATATTTTATTGGAACATATATTTATATTTAATTAATTTATAGCATAGCAAGTAGTTAGCTATAGCAAATTCATTTTATATAAATAGAATAGCTTTTTGCTTAAGTTGTAAATTAAATCTTTTGCGAGTTTTAAGTTATTAATAAAGAAATCAATTTAAATTCATATAAATTTACTTTTTCCTTCAACATTATCCTTTATTTAGGATTTGTTGTAATATATTACACTAACTTGCTATTAATTTTATCATTATGAATTTGACTAATATATCTTAAATTTTAAGACGTGATAAATTGTCGAGTTGATTCAAGTATAATAGATACCTGTAAGACTTAAAAAAATCCTAAAATCAGAAACTCCAATGTGTAGAATTAACTGCTGCAGCCTTTCAACTTAGACGTTAAGATAAATGAAAATGAACCCAATGACAATGTATTATTCTAATAAAAATAGTTTATTAGATATATATGATAATA